GTCCGCTGATATCACAAAAGGGTGGGTATTCACGAGTACCAAAAGGATAAATCAGTCCCATTTGTACCAAAATAAAAAATCGTATAGAGTCCAACCCTCTGTTGGCAAGCTCGCAACACGTTGACGCGACTGCGGCGGGCACTATTCTGCTGTTTAGTTTTCTTCTGTTTGAACAGTAGGAAATTAATGTAATAATTCGTTGGCTCACAAATCAACCAATCAGAATACGAGTTGAATATTTTTAGTACAAATGGGACCGATTTTTCATTTTGGTGCAAATGACTGTTGGTACAAATGGGACGTCACCTCAAAAAAGCTCTCTGAAAACCCTACAACGCCCCACACTTGGGCACCTGTAAAACGTTGCTGAGTGATCGAGACGATCGGTCTTATTGGAAAACAGTATACGTATACTATTTTAATTAATATAAAGGTTTGATCCACCTAACCTGGAGTTCAAAGCCACTGTCTTTTTTATGTTTTACGGATTTTTGTTCCTGTTTCTAATGTTTTTTGGTTTTTCTTTTGCTTTTGTCTTTTACTCGTTTTTTGTCCCCTAGTGACCCCCCTTACTCGGTTAGCTAGGCCTCGTTCGGAAAGCGCACCAGGAAATCTTCTCAAGTTTTCTTAAAAAGCTAACGCGGTACAACCAAAAGGTGAATACGTTACCGTTGAACCGCACCACCGGTACTCTAGAATGGGCATGTAGCCCGGAGCTGTGTCAAGTGGGTTCGACTCCGTAGTCATGATGTCGTAAAAAGACCCAGGAGCGCCATAAAAACACTATGTAACAGTCGCCTACTTAAGTCAAATATGAGGTTAAAGAAAAATAGGCCCTATAACTATTGGCTCAAGAGTCAGGGACACTATCTCTTGTGTTTTTCTACTTCAAATTGTCGGAGCCAATTCGGTTCACTAGCGACATGAGACTAAAATCTTTGTTACAGCTTAAAGGCCACTACCAAAATACCCCCAACTCTAGATAATAAGGTCTCAAAATACCTAAAACACGCGAACGCTGTTAAAAACAGGGTCGGAACAATCCTTATAGTTACTTTTTATTAGACAGTGGACCTTTGATCCATTTCAGATGGATCAACCTAAAACTCTCCTTACCTCAACATAACAATATAGAACAGGTTTCCAGCTTCAATAACAGGTTTCCAGCTGCACTCGCATTCTTTGACATTTAATCCTTGAGATGCTGCATGCGTGAACCACTCAGACGTCCTGCCAAACTAGCAAAGCCATGGACGCAATCAGTGACGAGTTTGGAACCCACTTGGAGCGGCTGAAAGTCGTAGATGAGGGGATCTTTTTTTTCGGTCCAATGTCTGTTCAGGATGTTTCGTCTTTGAAGCAGTGAAAGACTCTAGAGACGAAGAAGCTAAGTTATCATCAGAAGAGGCAATACGAACCGCGCCTTGCACATCGCATGCGTTGAGTTTGTTAGCTATCAGTCGGTTCTTCAAAGTGCTAGATGTGCTCTGGCATGGTTGTTGTTGTACTTCAGAGTACGAAGCACTGAGTGTTTCTTCAAAGCTGGTGAGTGTTTCTTCAAAGCTGGCTGTCGGCCTCTAAACTAGCCGTATCTACTTGTTGTTTTGTCAAGAGTCTTAGGATCTGTTCGGGGCTTTCAAGCAAAAATACGGCTTGGACCAATTTTCTTTGATAATCCGGTCTGTTAGAATGTCTGTTAATGTCCTATTGAGAGACATCAAAACTGATTCGCACAGCTTTCGGAATGAACTTCATTACTTTTCCTCCGCAACGTTGAATGAACGTGAGTGTTGTCTGTTGGCATTGCTTTTGGTTGTGGATCACAATTTCATTTGTTTCGGTTCTTAATTGCACCAACTACCCTCAGATTGCCGTTCGCCAGAGTTCTGATGGACTTGTTACAGGTGGGTCACGTCTACTTGCCTCGGCATAGCTCTTAAACGAATCGCGTTTGAATTCAGCTTCAACGACTTCTTCTGCATTGAAATCAGTGCAGTCTAAAGGAAGCTTCATCTGGCTTGAATCGAAATGTGATTTATCACTAAATCCAATATAATAATAATAATAATAAATGCACCCATATTGTTCCTGATCGGGCAGTCCACATCGTTGTTGTGATTTTTTCCGTCTCCGCATTTCAACTGGAAAATATAAAATAAGTTTATCACAACAATTAGGCAAATTCGTTTACCTATTGATTTAATAGCCATGATGTTGGGTTTTTGCTGCCGCAGTTATTATCACACACGCGCTAATGTCGTAAAATATGAACAATTCCACTAGTCAATAGAATTTACTCTCACTTTCATTTTCAAGCTGAAAGAATATTCAGGCTACATTAGGCCTACGATACTATTTTACTACGTGCTATAATTGCCAATTAAATGCTTGCTTCATCATGAATTAATCGTTTTCGAAAAATACCGCAGTCAATTATTTGCATCCCATTAATTGCAATTAGTTTTTCCTCATTATTTTTGAATACCCTTTACATAGATTTGTGTGGGACAGCATTTTTTTCTGCAGTATTCACCGATTCTGATAGATGTATTGCTGACTTTTTCGCATTATACAACCTCAGTAATTTATAGTTCTCCGATTAGTTTGAAAACAGTAAAGTCTAGAGCTCTTTTGTTGCTAGGTTGCTTGTGGGGATTATTTTGGAAAAGAGCCATCCGTTCTAAGGGCGCTCAACTTATCCGACGTTTTCGCAACGTTCAGATTGCGAAAACGTCCAGATTGCAGATGTAACCGAAGATGGATGGCATGACCTCTCTTGTCTGAAAAGGGAGATTCTCTAGGCATTCAAATTTAAATGCCTTCATCAAGCAAAGTTTCGCCTCCACTCATATTCCATCCGTTTTAGAGCCCCGATACCTCCACAGGACAGATCATTTCGCTATTTTTCGTCTTTTTTCTTTCTTTTCTTTTTTTCTTTTCATTAGCGCACGTTGGTCGGGTTGGGCTCGTCCGTCTCCAGGCTAATGAAATTCGCAACTTCCACCGGCCTAAGCCACAGGTCTGCGGGAGTGAGTGATGAGGAATTCTTGGGGCAGTTAAAAATGTGGCAACTAGTGTGGGGTGCTAGATGACAGTCCGGGCATTGTTGTCTAGTCGGGAGAGGTATGTGTTTAAAAGCCGGCTGTAACCAGACCGGAGTTGGGAGAGTTTACAGCGGGTAGTTCTGGGGAGAGATTTTTCTGTGGAGTCGACCTAAGGGGGCGGTATACAAATTACTTTATAGGGAGGGATTTCTGCAAGGAACTTGGTTACTAGATTTGTGTGGTTGTGATTCAAAATGGACTTGTGGTGGTTAAAAGCGAAAGTGGAAACTTTTTCTGGGTTATTAAGATTGAGTGAAGGGTTAAGTTTGGTTAAAACGGAGTCACTATCTTCTTTTAAAAGCACTTAAAATCGATTGTCGAACTTGACGTGTTTGGGTGATGGGAGCGGTATGACGAGATAAAAAAAATTGAGAGGTTAAAAGAGTGTGGTGATTTGGAACATTGAGGATTTCGACCTCACTGTGCAGGTGGGCAGTGGAACTCATGAGTGTGGAGCCGGTAATAACTCTGAGGGCTTGATTTTGGGTGACCTGCAGGTGGTTAATGGAGGCTTTGCTGGCGGCAGGGGAGGCATTATCTAAAATGAGGCGTTTTAAGGCTCTGTAAGTTAAGAGGAGGGTTTCTTTAGACTGTCCCCAAGAGGATCCTGCCACCGCTTTCAAGACACCTATCCTGCGGCGAACATTGTCAGCGGATTTTTTACAGTGTGCAGCAAAGCATAACGTTGGGTCAAAAGTAATCTAAAATTTTTGGGTTTTTAATAAGAGGGAGTGGCTCGTTGTTTAAAAGTACACTACGTATTTTGTTAAAATCTTTATTGTGCGTTGAAAGGGTAACTGATCCTTAAGAGGACGTGAAAGATAACTTCCTGGAAGTGAAAAAATTAAAAAGATCATTTCGCTCGTCCCATGGGCTGTTGGTAGGCAGCTCCCGTGGGATGTGATGGTAGTCGATCCCCTAATAGAATAAGAGCAGGCTCAGTTAGTAACCCCGGAACAGCGCGGCCGAGGCAGAATGTTGCAAATCTGACACATACAGAGATTTAATTGATCATGGATAAATTTTTCAACCAATAGCTTTTGAAGTTCAGGGTACCGCTGGCCCTATCTTTGAGATTATGAGATTTTTCTAAATGAGCTCTGTAAGAACTTGAGCACGTGTATCGAGGAACCCAGGGTAGGTAGTTTTCTTAAGCAGAGAATCTCCCTGGCAATACAGATGCGAACGCTGCCGTTGTACTCGGCACTATTAATGATAAAATATGATCAGAGCCCAGGAAACGAAAGTGCAGCTTATTATAAGTATCTAACAGACCCGTAGCCTCATATCAGGTCAATTGAAAATTGAGTTTCTTTCAACTCCGGTTTATTCTGTGCAGGTGTTAGTTTTCTCAATTTGTTTGGCCTGATTCCCAACCATCTGTGACTCTCTTTTCTTATCCACGTTATACTTTACTCTTCCTTGCATACCTAAAAAATTTCTAGGATTTTGACTGGAATATGCGATGAAGGGAGTCCTGACAGTAAACTCGGTTACTACGATACTTCTGACTTTCTGATTACCGAAGAATCATTTGCATAAATGAACAAAATATTCTCGTATCCTACAGAATAGCTTTAAGGACTGTCGCCAGAGCTGCGGAGATCTCAAAGTAAACGACTTTCGAGAAACACTCCTAGATTTGTTCGGCCGCCAAACTGGAACCCTTTTCGGGCGTTTTTCTCGAGTAAATTTTGTTGAATTTGTCTATTATTCTTCGTCTGATGTATTTGCAGATATGTAGCATTAGTAAAGTCTTTTTCTATTTGTGCACTGGCTTCCACAGAAGTATTCAATTTATTTTGATATTGTAAAATATAAATATGTTAATGTAAATTTCCAGATGCACTGTTCAACTTCATGTCATATCTAAATTTTTGGTTGTTTTTCAGATTTGTGGAAGGTAATGTTAGGCGATGTCTACAACGCACTTTGTTCCGGATGTCTTTTCGACGGAAATTTTTTCTGCTATGCTTTGTTCCAGTTTTCTGTTAGCATAACGGTGCATGTTTTTCAATTTTACTACGTGTATTTCTTTTTGGACATTTATGGCGTATCTCAATATTGCTTTCAAATATCACAGTTTTCGTTCATTATTTGGAATATTGTAAACGAGGTGTTTTTCGGCTGGCTACAGGTTTGTATTTTTCCACTATTTACACTTTTCTATCAGTTTTTTTTATACAGTTGTCTCAAGCATGAAACTAAGCTTGATGAATTTATAAGAGACTCTGAAGACTCTTATAAAGGTCTACATATCTTAAGCTATAGAATCACGGCTTAAAAAACGAGCTATAAATATCCATGAAAAATATGCAATATCAGTGTTAAGTGAACTGTAAAGGCTGTGCGGTTAATTGAAGGGTTACCCTTGTGATAAACAAGGGAATTGCAATCGGGCACTAGACTTTTTTCTCCGTAAATAACTTAGTGCACCGAATAGTCAAAACTTGAAATGGTTAATTTAGGCTCAGGCCATTATGATTTTAAATTCTTTTGTTCTCCGGCATAATTGCTTTGGAGGTATTGAATATGCCTGGGACGGCAAGGTCTTGGGTCCGAATCTCACAGGACCTGTTTTTTTTTTCAAACGAGAAATAGTCCGTTTCATAAAAATTGTCGGCTTATTATCTGTCTGCTTATGTTTTGTCGGTGTAGGTGCCACTTGTTGGAATTGTTTTTGTTACTTTTAAGGTTTTCATTTTCTTCCGCTATTTGTTCTTTTACTAACATTCTAATATATTCTCCTTTGTTTTGTTTTCGCTTAAAAACTGGCGCAAATGATTTCGGCTTATTTTTTTTCGGCTTAGTGACCTATTTTTAAGTAGGTTCAAAGGAAACATAGTTTTTATGCTCTCCTCTAGACTGCACAAAATGCTAAAATTATTGATGTAAAGTATAGTTTTTCATGGCAATAATTTTTTTTCGGTTGTATAGTTTTTTTATTCTCTTCCTCTTTGTTCCGCTTGATAGGTTTCGGTCTAAATAAAATTGGCTTAATGGCCTCATATTGCATCTGTTGACAAGCACAGATGTTGACAAAATTGTATGGCATGTTTGTGTTTTGAGGGCGAGGTGGACTTAACAACTTTTTATTGGTCATAATTTTTTTTGAATTTTTTTGGCTTATTTTTTTTTCGGCCTTATAGGTTTCAGCGTGTATTATATTGGCTTAGTGACCTCGTATTGTTTCATTTGACCAGCAAATAAAGTTTTGTGTGAGTGTGTTCTGAGGGTGAGTTGGACTTAAGAACTTTATAAGTCTTAAGACTTGTAGATATTTTTTGGCTTTAAAGGTTTATGCTTTAATCCGAAAGTTTTTTTTTGGCTTTAAAGCTGAAAGTTCTGCTTTAAAGCTGAAAGTTCTGCTTTAAAGCAGAAAGTTTTTTTTCACTTTATTCTTGGCTTTAAAGTTACAGTTACTTCTGTGTGTAGTCAATAACTCTGGTTTTAAGCAGGTAACACAAATAAAAAGGCGAATCTCTCCTGGTCCAAAAATATTTCGGTTTACGTTTTTCTTACGCTTACAGTTAGCAATCGTTATTAAATTGGAGCGCTGAGTTGCCAAATCGTCTAGCAAAGTTATAGTTTTTTTTGACGCCAGTGTATACTTTTTATTTAGCAACAATTCACTGCTGGCGGTCTGCTTTTCTAGCATCTTTTGCTTCAAAATTAATTTCATTCGACGTAAACGTATGAACAATTTGGTATACTGATTTTTCGACTGATTTTTTTCCCTTGTGGCTATCGTCTAGTTTTTCTGTCGGCTAGCTTCCCATGTGTTTGTGATTTACAGTAAGTGGTGCGATGCAAGCTAACAGTTAGCTTAAATAATCTTGTTTTTTTTTTCCCATGCGGGGGACCGATTGTTTAGCAGACCAATCGTTTAGCATAAATAGTGAAAATTGAGTCTTTTAGCAGACCAGCTTAATAAAGTGATGCATGATTGATTGACAGACTCAAAATGACGCTCAGCCTGGGGCCAAACTTCATCAATTAAGACAACTATCTCGCGATTTGTCAACAAAACTATTAACTTCAAAAACACAACAGTCTAAATTAGCGGCAAAACAAAGATTTACGCACACAGTAACACTCGTACTGATATGAAGCGCAGCGGAGCAAGCGGTCGCTAATCGCTAATGCCGCGTTTGAAGTTAGCTTTCTGACTGTTTAATTGTTCTGATTCTGCTAAAAGATTGGTCTGCTACATAACCGGTCAGCTAAACCTCTAGCACCACCCATGCGATTATTAAGGCTATTATAATCGGGACTATACTAAGGTTCTTGTTATCGAGACTATACTTTTTCCGGTAAACAATTTTGATAGCAGAATTCGCACCTGAGATATTGCGAGCTTTGAAATAAATTCAAATCTAAAAACCATTTCCGCAATTTTAGCATAGATGTAACGCCCATATTTGGGACGACAAAGGCGCTGGGTTAAATTCTGGCCTTCGGTCAATTTTTTTTGAAATTGAAAAAAAATTCTTATGAAAAATTCAATTATCGGACTATTGTTTTTCTGCTTATCTTTACTGGCTCAGTTTCCAAATTATAAAAATTTCTGATTAAAGCATGTTTTTTTATAATTGAATTTCATTCTGATCTATTCATGTAAGTTGTAAACTAATCACATGATTTTGAATGTTTTCCCCTTGCTTTTTATTTGTTTTTTTTTCGCTGTAAAGAGTTTATATGCTTGAATTTGTTCGGCTTATGTTGTATTGCTTTAGTTTCCTCATAATGCGTCATCTGAAGCGGAAGCATTTTTTATGCGCTCGTGCTTTGTTGAGATGTTTAAAAAGCTCAATTTCGACTCAACCTTATTTTCGGATCAACGTGCGTCTACTCAAGAGTTGAGTGCGTATTTACCACTTGATAGATTTTGTTTCAAATATAAGAAAATTTTGGCAACTGATTTTTTCTTCAAATTTCACTCCACTAGATGAATAAAGTTTTTGGTTGATGTTGTTTGAACGTCAATTTTTTCTAACTTATTGATTTGTGTCTTCTTTTTTTTCGGCTAGCTTCTGTTCTATGTTTGTGAGGTATCTAAATTGTTTACGCTTGCGATTAGCAAGCGTTATCAAACTGGAATTTAGACTTTTTTCAGGTTAACAACTTGTTTAACAGAATCACTTGTATCTTGGTTCATAGTGAATTCAAATTTCGTAGTGTCACCTTCACATTTAGCCTGGTGGTAACGAATACGCCTGTTTTTGGCTTTGTTCGATTAAAAAACTTCGGCTCATATTTACTTTAAATGATTTTGACGTATATTTTATCGGCTTGGTGACCTAATTTGGGTTCATTTCACAGGAAGCATAAGTTTCCTGTTTCATCCCGGATCGCACAAAATGCTAAAATTCTTAAAATAGAATTTATAGCTCTAAGTTTTTCATGACAACAATTTTGTTTTCGGTTCTACTGGAAATTATTTAAGTTTCGTCGGCTCAGTTGCCGCTTGTTAATTATTATTTGAATTTTCAATAATTGCCGTCGATTGTGTTTCTGGACTTGTTTTCCGCGAATAGAGTATGATTCCAGGCAACATTTTGAATTTTTTATGTTGTATTTGAAGTGTTTTTTTTTTACTTAGTGGCTTTCTTTTCTGGTCTGCTAGCTTGCACTGCTATTTTTGTGTTGTATCGCAAGTGGTGCCTCTGTATTGATCGAGACTTATAATTTTAATTGATCGATTACTGATGGGACGCTCAAAATTTATGATCGCACAGCCTTACAGAGCAGAATCATCATTTAATATTTTTGGTTTAGGACCATGCATCAGTTGTGTGGCTTCGGTCAAGACAGTTGAATATTTTATACTGCGGACCTTTATTTGGCTTCGCATTTTTGTTCGGTTGGTTTAAGTTCTACGACATCTTTTCTTTGAGAGGCGATTATTGGCCGTGCATTCATTTGATTGCAACATTATATTTTTGGACAACGGTGTTGTCTTTTCTCCATATGGCACATTGCTCGTTGTTCACTGAAGTAACCTTTGATCATAACTCACGCGTTAGGCTGACAAAGTATCAACGTGTAGCAGCAATATGTGGATTTTGGGCAGTTCCTCTTGTCGAGTATGGTTACGACTCCTTTAATGAAACAGGTTATTTTCATTCAATTTTTTATACAGAAGAATTTTATTTTCAAGCTAGAAACTTATAACCAGAAATTTTCTGATAAATACGTTTACAATTTAGTTCGGCTTGGAGAAGACCAAAAAGGCATCAATTTTTTAAGGCTTCAATAAAGTTTTTGTTGAGTATATCTTATTTTAGAAAATGAACAGAACGAAGTACGGAAGTCGCGCCGGTTATAATTTCAGTCTTTTAAACATTTCGTTTGCTTAGGTCTCTACTGCAGCTTGATTTTCATTGCATTACTTGCATCAGTGTTTACTTTCATGACTGGTTACTTCACTGAGTCGAGAATAAACAGAACGAAGTTGGAGGAATTGTTTGACCACAAACACTTAGAAGAGCTATCCTTGTTTTCTTCACAGTATTTGAGATTAAATCTCAAAATACTATGGAATCGGAAGTTTCTCTCGTTTGTTGCGATGCAATTTTTAGCAGTCGGACTTCACAATTTTGGAGCGAATTTTACTAAGATTATCACTGAGGATTTAAATCTCTTCGAGGAAACAAAATTGGGCAAACTTTTGTTTTTTCTAATCAATTCAATCGGAGGAAATGTTTTGGTCTTATTTTTTACTCCTTTCTTGGAAAGATTCGGCTCAGATGTGGTTACGAAGGCATCATTTTTTGTAGTTATTATCAGCAGCGTCTCACTCTACTTTTTCCAGAATTCGTTTCTTGTGATTATACATCTAATGGTTATCAATCTTGTATCAACGGGAGTGAGTATTCTTGCGAATATTTTTGTCTCTAATATTATAGAGGAAGACCAGATTCTCCACAGGCGTCCGTTGCCTTTGTCTTCTATGTTCTTCGCGCTGACATCGGTGCTGTCCAAGCCAGCACAGTCTGTGTTTCCGATGGTTGCTGCTTACATACTTGATCACAACAGAGTGTCAGAGAAAGGTAACATCTAAGTAACAGTTCTGAAAAGTTCTAATGTAAAAAGTCGACTGTTACATAAAACCGTCTATACAATCTAAATTTTAATATTTGGACTGCAAACTGGGGAAGATCTAGGATTTGCTCGAGGGGGATTTTCAAAAAAATTTCGAAAACTTCGTCGTTTTTAAGAGTAATGAACGTAGTGAAGAACTTTATATAGGTCTTGCTGGTTTTTTATTTTTTTTTATGAAATAAGACTTAGAATACTCTAATAACTACAGACGTGCATTCATACATATTCATGCATTTATGAATGCACTTAGGTATATATTCACTTTTTGAGTTCAATTGAAATTCATCTGCTGAAGTTACGTAAATAGTACTCTCTAAATACGAACGTGTAAATGGCGCAAAAAACGTGAACAATTTCTAGGTTCGAAAGTGGAATTTAATTTTTAGATTTCCAGCGGAATAAAAACTTCACCTATTGATCGAATTTTTTCTCGTTTTCTTAATGTTATCAAAAAAGCGTCAATCATAAATTGTTCTCGAAAGTCAAAGAGGTTAATATTCGGAAGTGCTGTAAAAGTGCCAGAAAAACGCATCGTTCGAGAATCAGTGATATATAATGCTTATACAAACTAAACCTTATTGCACTTGCGAGAGCAAGGGTCTTGAATCGGGAACACATTTTTTCCCCGTAAACAACTTTTCATTCAGAAATTAAAGTGCCTTTATCAGAGAAACTCAGGAAATGCGAGACTGCTTCCCACTTGGTCTCCATGTAACGCAGTCGCTTTGTACCCTAAGGTCTGGGGTTCGAGCCCCAAGTGGGCTTTGTTTTTTTTTCAGTTCTTAGTAATTTTAAAAAAACTTTCCGGTGAAAATTGAATTGTCGGCGCAAGTTGCCAGTCGTCGGCTTAAGTGCCAGCCACATCAGGGATTTTTTGTGCTGTAAGCAAGTATCATGGTAATTGCAAGTGTTGATTATCGTAGTGTTTTGGGGGGATTTGAAACTTTTTAAAGATTTCTTGTAAAATAATTTTTTTTCGGCTCAACTGGTGTCTGCGCGAAGATTGTCGGCTTTGTTTCCGCTTCGTAAGTTTTGTTCCGTTGCTAAATTCATATTCATGTCTTGCTTGTCATATTCAGCTGGAATTCCTGTTTTTATAAATAAAGGTTTTATGGAAATGTATAGGATTGGGTTTTTAATTTTATTTACTTTTTTTGTGACGCTTTCGAAAGTTTTTCCACTTGCTTTTTTCAGACGCTTGCAAACATTAAAGCTGTCCCCGAAAACTGCTCTACCGATTTTCAAGAAAAGCGTATCAATGGAAAGACCGCGTATCAAATATTTCGTTTCCGACTGTTTTTTCATTCTTTTTGACTTTTAGCGAAAACAAGCAGATAAAATCATAAATATTGTGTTCAATCCAAAGAACGGTTTGTGAAAAGTTTTTTCCTGAACTTGCGACCAAGCCCAAATTAATTTTTCAAAAAAATTAGGGCCCTCGGAAAAGTCAATATTTGTTTTTTCTTTGTACGGTTTTTTTTAAATAAAATTTGATTTTTCTCGAAAACTACCTTCCCGTATCGGAGTTTTTGCGTTCACCTGAAATAACAGAGTATTTGAGTCTCTTTTCCTTAAAAAAGATTTTACGCAAAATTTTTTACAAAAAGCTATGATTCTCGGAAAAGTCAATATTTTGATTTATTGGCCGTTTTTTGGAAACTTTTGTCTTTTGTGAAAAGTTCCCTGCCAGTTTTTAGGAGAAGTTTTAAACAAGAAACCCGGTCGTAGTACTCTTCTCTGCTTGAGCGGCCACGACCTTAGTTTTTTGCAGAAAACAAAAGTTATGGATTTTGACCGTTTTTTAGAAACTTTTTTTAGAAACTACCCTATCAAATCTGAGGTGAAGAATTCGATCAAAAGAACCGGTTTTGAAACTTTTTTTTGCAGAAGCGGTGACTTTCAAATCATTTGTTAGAAAAATGTTGTCTTTGGGAAGGTTCTAATTTCATTCATCTCACTTTAATTTTTATAGTAGAGAAACCCTAAGGTTTTGGGCAAAGTCCAATTTTTGAAATTTTGTATTCCATCCCGCAGAAGTATAACAAATTCCAACAATTTCAAGCAGCTACCTCCAGCTATAACTGGCTATTAATTATCTCTTTTATGAGACATGAAAATTTTGGTTGACCTAGTTTTTTTCCATTTTTGTTTGTTTTATTTTTGTTGTTCTGAAAGTCGCGCGAAGCTCCGTTTCGCCTTTAGATAAAAAATTTAGTCGCGTGATTCAGGCTGCTATGGACAACTTTGAAAGTATCGTTGATTAGCATATACCATCTACGTAATCGTTGCTATACATTTATCGTCAGATAAAATTACGGGATATATATTGTTCTTAGTTTATTATTCCTAGTTAATTCACAATCAACCATTAAAAAGTTTTATTCTTCTGAATTTTTTTGTAACTATGTCTGGGGTTAGAAGATTCTACGCTTCTTAGACAATAGTCGGCTATGCGTGTTTTTAATAGGTGTTATCCCATCGAAGAGGTCCTCGGAGTCGATTGTGAACCTTCTGATTTGCCTGCCCATTGTTACTTCTGTTCTTCAGCTCATCGTGTTCTCGCCTTTCTCTCTGAACCACCATTCAAAGACGACAAAAGACTGGCGCTTCAATGGAAATTTTACTGAAAAGGAACTTGACACTGTCTCGTAGATATCTAGACACATATCATACTTTTGTTTTCGATTTAATTTTATTTTTACAGATATTTAGCTCGATAATGTTGTACTATGTGTCGTTGACGCTACGGTGTAAATGTTGTATAAATAGACGTTTAATCATGTATTGAAAGATCTAGTTTTAAGACTTGTGAGAAAATTTGAGTTGTAATTGGGAGGTAAATCGATTTTTTAGACGTAAACAATTGTCACAGTCAATTCTTGGAATTAATTTTGCGATTTAAAGTTGAGCGCGTTTTTTGAGAAAGCTTAGTGCATTTTGCATTATAATCTCAATTTTGATAATGTACAGAATTTAATTTTCTATCAACCGAAAAATCTAATCAAGTTGATTTTTCCTTTTGATTGAACTTGCGAATCCTGAGTAATGAAGTAGACTTCTGGTTGATATTGGTTCAGTCTTCCATTTTTTGGTTCAATTCAATTTACTGCTTGATGGTCGAGCTATTTTTTTGAAGTGGTTATTCTATTGACTCTAAACAACTTTATCATTTACTAGACAATCAGTACTTATGATGGTATCAGATCAGTCGTCTTTTTTTTGTAACCAAAGAAGCATATTGCATTCCAGTTTTTGGACAAAATTGTTTGTGCATCTATCTATTATATATTTAAATGCGGGCTTCACTATCTCGCCGCTTAAGCCTTTTAAACGTATTAATTTTGCATGTTAAACGAAAGAATTTTTCACGTTTTTCAGTTTGTTTTCAGAGTTTATTTCACCAATTTTGAAATAAGCCACTGAATAGTGGGATGCTTTCAATGTTTCCCCTGAGGTTGCAATATTGGTCTCCAATTATGAATACCGAAATCTTATAAGTTTGCGAGATACGACGATTTTGTAATTTATTCAAAAATTTTCAGAAAACTTAATATCAAAAATATCAAATGTTCAATTTCTCAACCCTGTAGTTGAGTGCTGTCAGGGTTCTCTCAAGAATTGCAACTCTTGCCTTAAAACATGACTGCTCCTATCCTTGTAGTTTTCGAGATATGAAGTGTTTTATGTTTTTTTTATTTTTAAGGAAAACTTAGATTTTAATAATTCAACAGAACTCAATGTATTTCGCTTTCCTAAATATCACGTTTTTCTGATTTTTCAAAAATTTTCGAAAGAAAAAAATTTGAAAATATCGACGCATTGGTGGTGAAGTCAGGTTGTTACCAGTCGTTGCATATGTGGCCTTCACCCTAAAAAGAACCTTCAAGTTGAATTTTGTTGTGCAATTTTTGAATTCAAAGCATTGTTGGATGCCACCGTCTAATGTTATGATTGTATTTTTTTTCCTAGTTTTTTTTTCAAATATCAAGTTTTTTTTCCTTTTTTTGTTCGGATATTTTAAATCGGCACTGAAGTCTATGCTGCTTTAATATTAACTAGCATGTAACGCTTCTCAGGTGGTTCAAACAGATTAATAAACAAATATATACACATCTGTTTTACATGCTAGTTAATATTAAAGCAGCATTAGCTACTTTAGTAACATGCTAGTTAATATTATAGTGATTTAAATTATCTGGTCAAAACGAACAGAACTTGAAACTTAAAACGCATTTTTCTCAAATTGGGTTGATTTCAGGTGAAAAACGATAAAGACAAAACTTGCTTAGAATTCAGATATAACATGCTTTTGAAATTGAGAAATGTCAATTGGAAGAATTTTTCTTTGCAAATTTTATGTATTTTTTTATTTGAACGTTTATGTTGCAATTGATCGAAAGCTCTGCTTCGTCTCTGTGACAAGTAGTGGTTTCAGAATACGAATTTCAGGTGGAAATATCGAAATGTAGCATTACCAAGAATGCTCGTGAATGTGCGAAACCGTAAGTGTTCAGAATGTCCTTTTAAGTTACTGCCCTTTTAATTATGTTTACAAACTACAAACATCGCTTAAACGACTTGAATAATAATGAAACTAAATATCCATACTGCGGATCTGATAAAAAGAAACCTTTATAGTTTTTGTTATTCCAAATTTGTTTGAGTCAGAATAGTAACATCAAATTTCAAGCAGTTTGTCAGTTTGAGGCAACTTTCTTTTTAAAGCATATTATTGTGAATGTTTTCAGTTGCCTCACTTTTCTGTCTATGACAGCGTAAATTTTTTGTAGTAAATTAATTTTTTCGGGCGAATATAGTTTCTTTTGAAAAACAACTTTTTTTGCGTTTTTATTCCTTCGACAATC